GGCAGGGGCAGTGACAGCTGCCATGAAATTTAAACCCTGCCACATGCTGTTGGTGTATGTGAGAATAATGATAAAAACTAACCGGTGACTTGTCATAGCAGGCTCGGTCTATGGAGACACTGCTGCCTTGACGGGACTCGCAGCCCAGGATGGGGTCACCTCCAACAGGCAACTTGGGTACGGGCATCGGGGTGGCAGCCGTGTGGGTAATTAGAGGTGGGGTCAGGCTGGTCTTCAAGTCCACATGACCATTTACAGGCACTACTAGTGAAGCATGAAGAAAATAAATGTTGGTTAGGAAAAGGCTAGAGCAAGGAGGATGAGTGTTAGACAGGATTAACGATGACCAGGGTTTAACATAAAGAGCAGAGAAGAAAGAGGGCGGTGTGGAATTCAGAACAACAGAGGCGAGAGATAAAATGGACAAAACAAAAATCTCATGAAAAAAAAGCATAATCAAAGAAAATAAATGAGCTAAACTGAATATAAACATGAAGAGGAGCAGGAAGAGGTGGCACATGGGGAGGTGTGATAGGCAGGGACACCCTCAGTAATGCAGCACACAAAAATTTATGCCTCATACTGTTATTGAACCGCATGAATATTTCAGCACAGCATTACTCTTACGGGGCGTGTGGGAAAGACTATTACAGTATGTTTGGCAGCAACATGAATGCATGACATGTGGGGAGGAACGCAACTTCAATAACTCTAATTCCTCCATCTTCCAACCTTTATCCAAGGCCTAGAAGATAAACATTAGGCTCTTTCAACTATGTAAACAGTCTTACACAGAGTGTCTGATGGAGCTGAAGGGGAGGTGATACTGTATGTTGTACACTCGTGTTTCCACTGGGCTTTTCGGTCTGCATGAGCAGTAATTAGAGGGGATGGGAAGCGGCAAATGAGGAATTATGCATGAGGCTGGTGTACAGGTTTGACGCTGGTGCAGGGAGACAGCAAGACACATGCCCGCTGAGTGTGACGAAACCAATGGGGAAAACTGAGAGTAGGAGCCCACAGGCATACAGTAGAACAGGTGGGGGAATGCTTGCAACACAGCGTATAATCTGCAGGGGTCTGACGCAGATTAGGGAGGAAAAATGTCTGCAGTTAACTGTGCAAACACAGATGGTACACGTTTTGCCAATTGCATCTCATAGGGGCTTTGAAAAATCACAGAGGGTTGATTTAAATTCTTTGCATTCCTCTTACACATCATTAAAATAAAGCAGTGCAGCCATGCAATATGTGATGCGTGTATATATCCCGTACCATACGCGTGTGTGTGCCTCACCTGCAGATGCTGACAAGTCCTTCTTGCTACCGTTAACATCCTCCATACTTCGTGCGAAGGAATCAATCTCTGAACCTGATTTAGAGGCATCACCCTTGACACACAAACATACACAAAGTATTAGAGGACAACACCTGTAAAAAAAAAAAAGCCTGCTTCTGTGTATAGTTAACAGAAAACAAGTGGGCTGAAGTTGGCTCTAAACAGATCCCTGCTCAGCTGTGTCTCTACTCAAATATCATTATCAATCCCAGTTTAAATCTGACCTGGGATCAGTCATTAGAGGCAACTTTTCTCTGTACACAGGTAGATGAGGATGTGTTCTAATGATTCCAGAGTTCAAAGATTTAAAAAAGTGGAGCAAGAGGAAGCGAAAGCTCAAATATATAAACTACTGCCATGCAACTAGAGTAAGCAGGTACAAAGAGACACAAATGGCCCTGTAATGCTACACATAACCTGGCCAGTATACTGAGTTAACTTTGTCATACAGAATTGTTTCCACTTACTATGGTTCTTAAACAGCTACAAAAGTGCTACGGTATCTACTACTGTAACACAACCCACTCCGGACGTAGTTCACTGTGACATTATTCAGAACAGCAGAACTGCTGTCTATCACTATTCTGTACACCCATGTCAAAATGCCTCATCATCTCACATTTACATATCTTTCTACTCCTCATTACTATCTTTCACAGACTTTTCATAATCTCTTAATTACTCCCAGCCTCGGCCTCACACTGCCTTCCACTTACAAACCTACTGCAGTGAGCCCCAGAGTTTTTGTTTGTGTTTGCTGTGCTATGCCAGAGCCTGCAGATTCCATTAATATGTGCAAGGGTGCCAGGTGGATGCTGAATTAATAGAATACCGACTTGGTGAGTCCGACCTTTGTGGTAGCAAAGTGAATGAACTGTGTGCAGAAAAGCCTCAGGATCTAATCACCGTGCATCCCTTTTTAAACTAACAATACGTCTCATGGCTGGTAGAGAAAGACAGAGTGAGGGTGCATAAACTGCATTTTGCATTTGTTAATGGCTATGGCTATTTTTGAGGCACCAATTTTCATTTTTTTCTCTTGCAGTTAAAGTCACTATCTGTGTGCCTTGGACTGATTTCCCCCCAGTCTGTGAAGTGGGGGGAAATTAGGTAAGGAGAGCGAATGAACTAATGAACTACGAGACCAATCAGCTCAAGGGCTACTTGGAGACTGCCGTGCTGTCTGTACTCATCATGTTCCTGCATCTGCTTATTCATCATATTGGTTGGTTGCTATTTAAAACTCTTGGCTCACAGCAGAAAGCATGAAGCAACTGGATATCTGGGGTGTGATACCCATATATCCAGTTTTTTCTGTAAATTTGTCACCTTTTTGATTAGCTTTGTTTGTTATGATTATCATCAGGGCTGCAGCTTATGTGAACAGTCGAGGGTAAGCATGTCACTAAGGTGGAGACACAGGGCATGCATATTGTCATTTAGGTTGGAGGACTTTCTGGAAATGACCTGCCTAAGTGAGTAACACCTTTTTTAAATACTCTTCTTAAAGCATACATTATCAAAGAGCTTATTGTGGTTGAACTGTACCTTTTCCTTCCATTTATCTCAGACTGTATTCCTGCAACTAGTTTGGCTTTAGAATTGTCTGAGCACAAACATTACACCACGGACAAAAGTTCACACGTCCACTATAACATCTTGCCCTGTTTTAGACCGTATGAACACTGGTCTAAATAACACACACACACACACTGGACATACAGTACTGACAGATTTTAGGCACAGGCAGGCCAGGCAGTCGCCTAGAGCACCACCAGGAGGAAAGGCACCAAAGAGGATAAAACAAAGTTTTGGTTTTACTTTTATATGGATAATAGACGTTTAAAAGTCTGTCACTGACTTTCAAAGCACCCCTTACATTATTATGGAGAGAGAAAATGAAAAACACAGATCACACAGCACTAAACGACTGATAAGGAGAAGAGCCTGCAGACAGGCTGTACATACAGTATGTTGGCACAACCAAGACACTTATGTTCCATAAACATCATAATATGACACACACTGGAATGAGGGTATGGATAGCAGCAATGAAATTTACAGTATCAGGTAAACATTTCTTATACATTTCAGTCGGTACAGAGGGAGTAGCTTAATCTGGACAATTCTGACTGATCTGTCAAAAAGAGTCATGCTGACATGAGATCTGTTCAGTCCTAATCTCTCAGCACTCAGGGTTACACAACAGAAACCCACAGTCGAAGAGTTGCTGAAACTACACCACTGTAGATCACAAGACGGGTACGAATCCAACTCAGACCTTAGTCTGCCAGAATACCTTCATCTTCTCTCTTGTTCTCTCACTTTCTCTGCCCTGTCTTGTCTTTCTGCATCAGCTTCTCACTCTTTCTTTATTTTCTTTTAGGGGCTTTCAGTATACGACTTTGTCACATGAAGGCCTTATTTTGTAATTCAGCTGTCAGACAACAATTCTTCTAAGCTAGAATGAAGTAAGAACATATTAAGGCATCTTGGCAGCGGAACAGGTTAAATAAAACTAGCAGAAGGTGCAATCAACACAGTCTTTATGGTTTAAGTACTGAAGGAGGAAGGAGATGTTAACTGGATTACATTTAGCCTTTCAATATGTTGAGTACATCATTGGTTTGGGAAGAATTCAGCCAACATTGGTAAGGAGGAGGTGTTCTAGCCAAGCCTTAGAAAATGGAGGTTTCTTTGGAGAAAGGAATGGTGCAAATGATAGCTATGGGGCAAGGGAGCCAATGGGCTCAAGGGAAATCTTTGGTCCTCAAATAGCCGGGTTGTTTGGATAGCTCGTTTACACTGTGCCACCTCAATTTGGGCATGGTGGCGGGAGCAGGAGACCAGGGCCAGGCCAGGCTGGCTGCTAACAGCCAGACAATCACAGATACCAGCAGCACACAGGGGGATCTCAATATCATAGCTTCAAAAAGGGTGCAAAGGTGGCTGCTGACAGGAGGAAGGGGGATGCATCCTACCACAGCTGATACTCACCAGCCTACGACTAGTTTAGACACCTGAGATTTGGTAGCAAACTTCAAAACTAAGGCCAGGCATTAATGACCTCCACACCAATAAAGGTATCAATGGAAGTGCATGGCTGCCAATATTCAAAGTAAATATTGTCATCCATCATCTGTTATTTCATTTTTCATGTGCACACACAAAAACTGGAAATTTACTTTAAAACTCAAATTGACATTTTCATATTTTAAAGTGGAATATTATGGCCAAAATAAATAAGTTTCTGAATCACAAGTCAGTCAAATGGATGTGCTAGATCAAAAGTAAATAAAAATTGTTGAGATATTTCAGTGAGGAACAAGGTGGTGGACTGAACCCCTGCGACTGTCATCAAGATAGCCAAATGAAAATCAAAATGAAAACTCCAGTGGCAATTTTCAGTGTACTCCACAGAACTGCACCACCAAAATACAATTCCTCAATAAATTGCCTATTTTCGTGGCTTATTTAGCTGGTAGTATGCACCATAAGGTTGAAAATAAATTGGAAACAGAATTTTAATAAAGTGTCTATTTGATTTAATTATTTTATTTTCATATTAGCAGCCTTTGAGTTCCATAAAGGCTAGTATACACAATGTATAGATAATATAGTGTATTGAAAGTTATAAGAGGTCAAATATAGGAGAATAAAACTAAAAGAAAAGGTTAAACCACTAGACCAGCTAGCAGACTCCACTCAAATCCCCAGGCTCAGGACTCAACTTGGCCACTTCAGCCAAATAAAGAAGACTGACTGCCCATTGGAACGCCACCTGGATCAGGTTTGGATAACATAAAATTAGAGGGCACGAGGACAAGACTCAGAACCAGCTGTTTTTTTTAAAAGGCCTCATTTCACAGAGTGTACTGGCCAGGTCTTAAGAGTCTGAGTCATGCACCTCGTGCTCTCTTTATTAGCTCTCATCCCCTAGTCCGGCCAGCCGCACAAAAAGCCGGCACTCATCCCCCCCCATCCCTGTCTCTCCTCCACTTCATCTCTCTCCTCCGGCCAGACAAAAGAGAGACTGAGAGAGGGAGATTGTTGGCAGCATCAGTGCAGTATTTAGACCCCGAGGCTGTAAAATAAAAAGACAGGGGTAGAGAGCTACTGGGAGGCGAGCATTCAATCCAAGGTTCGATGTGGAGTCTGCCTTTAAAGAAAAGTAAGAAAACACAGAGACAGGAAAGTGATGCAAGTGTTTAAGCACTTTGTTGTCTCTCCTAAACTCCTCTGAACAGACACAGTGCTCTGGTTAGTCTCAGAGCAGGGGCAGCATGCAGGAAGCACGCTGGAGGACGTTCAGTTGATGTGAAACCTCCTCTGGCAACCAAGTTGGAGGTCAGCTGGATTTGGCAACGTGGGTGATCACAAATCACTTTTCTACACTGTTCGTGTCTGCACTGCATTAGAAAGAGACTGGTGGTTTCACGGTAGTAAAACTAGTCCCAGTACAGTGTCACTGTCTTGTTAACATGATTCCCACAACTGCTCATTTTACAAAGGCCAGTTCATACACATGCTACTGTTCCATAGTCTTTCCTATGTGACAACCAAATACTTTCATTTTATGCACAGATGTGTGGTAGAAGTATCAGACTTCCATAATAAAGCTATTTTTTTCTTTCTCCAATTTGTAATCATATGTTTAGCAAACAATGCAGCATTTAGTCTTGGAGGAGACTGCACCACAGTTGCCTACTTCATCAGAATTCAAATCCAAAACAATCAATTAAAATTGCCAAGTTTATTATCCAGTTTCTCCAAGCTAAACTTTAGTTTTACTCTGCCAATACTAGCAAACATAACATTTTAGGCCAGGTATTTTAAACGATTCTTATAAGATACACTGGGAGTTGCTGTTAACATCTTTCTTTATATTTTAATGTACAAAGACCTGCACCTTCTTATTAAAAAAGAAGATATTTTTAGCACAGCTGCTCATCTTTTGTACTGAGGATTTACCTAGGAAAATTTAATGTCCATTTTGGGCTTGGGAAAGTTCAAATTGAAAGTCACCTACTGTCTTTACAGAAAATAAACTGAACTATCAGCAGCCAATATTTCAATATCTCTGTGATTATTTGGATGATGTAATACTACTAGGTGGAAGCTAGAAAATAGTTTTTCTAATTTTGGGGAAATGATCCTTTAAGGCCCTAGCAGCAAGCTAGTAGTTTGAATATGTTATCTACATAAATGTATTTGATAAATGATCGAGTTGGCTAGTTATCTCTGCAAAATGATGTCAAAAAGCAGACACAGGCAAGACAACAGACCTCCAACATGTAGCTGCTGAGAGATCTGTGACATTACTGCAAAGCTTCTATAGGGAACACTGAGGAGAACGGGTGGACAGGCAGGGCAGAGGAGAGGATGGAGGGAGGACAGGCAGTGCCGCAGTGCTGTACATACCCCTGAGTCTACAGGCAGCTGAATTAGGTTCAGCTGGGCATGCAAGTCCTCTCGCTTGGACACTTCCTATAGCGGACGTGATCGGTGCAGCCGGACGGGAGAGGGAGGCGCAGACAGAAAAGGAGGCAGAGAGTGAGAGGTGGAACCGCAGCAGTTACAGAAGAGCAGAAGGACAAGGTTAAAGGAAGTTCAGCCTGTTGTAACATTCAGACTTTACCATGCAACAGAACATTTCAAAGGAACTGTCCTGGATCACAGTGTGCAGTCATGTGCTGAACATGTGGTTCGGCAACTTCAATTAGCTGAAAGCAGTAAAAGCCAGGACAGCAAATGGAAGCACAGCCAATTTTTACTACGCAGTTCATTCACGGATATGTTGTAAGGATATCATTTCATTCAAAAAGCAGAAATGAAAGTGATCTTGGCATAAAAATATAATGAATGCAGTACAGCTGTGCATCATTCAGAGCATACTGTGTTCAGCATGAGAGCATCCCCCTGCAGCTGATAGTTCAAGTACATGGAAGTGGTTCAGTAGGTACTGTGCTTGTTTGCATATGTGTGAAATATATGTTTATTGTCACATTGAGAGGTGAAAAAAATGTATTTCTTGTGTTGACAGCTCTCCATAAAGAAACAGATCCGGCTGCTGCACTGTCTGCAGTGGGTAGTAGAAACAATCACAACCTGACAGAGAGACACAGTGAGCAAAAGAGATGGATGAAGAAATAGAGTATGTAGGAGATGAGGAGAACAGAGTTAGAAAAAATCAAAGCAGACTGAAAAAAACCCTTCATAAGATGATTTCCCTGCTGCCTTCATGTCCAAAGCAATATGAACATTAAAAGTAATACTCTTTGGATGTGTGTGTCTTCGCTCCACAGTAGTACATCTCTCCTGGCTTCATTTAAGCACCCGTTACCTAGCAACCCTGACGCAGGGAAAGTTTGGCCGACTAAAAATAAACTTAGTGTTTGCAGAAAAGGATGTAAAGTTGAAAACTGAAGGAAGATTAAGCCGACAGCTCTGTGATGATACAGGAGAACAGAGGGCGTGACTATGTACGAGTGAGCCTATGTACTGCATGTGTTTTCAAAGATTTTTGTCCTTACTCGCATAACCTTAAAAAGAAACAAAATGTAAACACAGACAAGACACTCGATAACATTCAAACTAAAAATGATCATATTTTATTTTTTGTTTAAGGAAATACAGACAGATCAGCCATAACGTTACAACCACCTGCTTAATTCTATGTACACAGGAGTCAATGTGGCAGTTGGTGGCACTCGTGTCACTCTGCAGCTCACTGTGCATCTTCTGTCAATCTATTTGCTTTCATTGTTCTACTGTCAGGAAGAGCACAACTGTGTTGACCGTTCAGTGAAAAATGTGCTCTGATTCAGTCATCAGGCATCACAGTGTGGCCCTTGTCAAAGTCACTCAGATCCTTACACTTGCCCATTTTTTCTGCTTCCAACACGTCAACTTTGAGGACTGAATGTTCACTTGCTGCCTAATACACCCCACACACTCACAGGTGTGTTATCCCACCATAATGAGATAATCAATGTTATTCACTTCACCTGTCAGTGGTCATAATGTTATGGCTGGTCAGTGTAAACTTAAATGACGCTGCAGCTATTGTGCCCACTTTGGGGTTACAGAAACAAGCTGTGAATGCATTGATATTAATACATACATATGTTTTCCTAGACAAATTATAGTATCCATGGTTCGCAAAAATTCACAACCTTGTGAACACTAATAAAAAAAAGGATAAGGATAATCACCTTTATTGGCCAAGTCTGTTACACACAAGGAATTTGTTTCCGGTACAGAACCGATGGCAGCCATCTGCAGCGCCAACTCAACCAATGGCTCTAACCATCGGGGGGATTCAGTGTCTTGCCCAAGGACACTTCAACACACACACTGCAGGCACCAAGATTTGAACCTTGTGGTTGAGAGACAACTGCTCTAACCACCGCACCACTGTCACCTCCCAAACTGAGTTTTCCTGGAGAATGCAGGTATAAGTATAATCACTGCAGAAAAATAAACAAAATGTCTTCTTTATGCAAATTTCAAGAAAAAGAAAAAAATGAAACTAAGAATGAAAACCAAGGATATGGACTGCATGAGCTTATTCTTGGCAAAAAACAACTTTAAATAATTTAACTAATTCATTTCATTTCAACCCTGTTTGTAATTCCATTCATCACAGTCATGTGCCTGATATTTGTTCAGCTGCTAAGCACAGATAGCATTCCAGTTAATTTATATTTTATGAGGCCATCAACCTCTCTCTCTCTCTCCGCACCCTCCATCTTCTCTCTCCTCTCACAAGTGAAAAGCCAAAATCACATTGCAGATCAAAGCATAACTGCTGTCACCACTTAAACAGAGAGAGAAGGGGAGAGACAGAGACAGCCAGATTGACTGAATAGTCATGTAATTTATCCTCTCCATCTATTTATTACCCTCTATTCCTTTTTCTCAGTGACTCTATCTTTCTCACTAAATTCCTGTTTGTGCCAATCAGGCTGGCTGAAAAGTCAAAGCTCAGTGAGTTTCAACTTTTGTACTCCCTGTAGCTCTGAAAACTGTTTTCCCAGCTGCCTGTCTCTCAACAATAGCAGCTATTAATCTACCGGCTTCTCTCTCTGGCTCTTGCTTTTCTTTAACTTGGAGAAAAATCGCAAACAGTGGATAACCGATCACTTTCATGACATACCTGTAAGCAGACTTGAATGAAAGAGGGGAATGATGAAATGGGATGATGACGAAATGGCTTTTGAGTAATGTGGACTGATACACAATATTGTCTCGCAGACATAGTTTTCTTATGATGTACTTTATTGAATGACTGCACTGGCAAATAAGCAGAGCAATAATGAGGATGACTGCCGAGCTAGTAGGAAAGCTGGAAAAGAGGCTGACAGACAGGCGAAGAGGAAATAATGTCCTCGCAGAACCCACTGCAGAGAGTGCAAGACCAAGGTGTAGGTTAATGTCTACAGAGTTCATCAATTTGTTCTGTATGTGTGGGCGTGTGGAGCCATCCATTAGTGTTGCAAGTGCCTGAACTGAAAAATAAACAACTGATAGAGTAATTCAGTCTGATGTTTCAGTCTTAAAATCTAAATTCTTTAAAAGCTAACAGGGTAGACTAATTCTAAAAAATACATTAGCACTAGTTCCAGTAGCATTTTACACCCTCCAAGTATACAGAAATTATTTGTGTTAAGGATTGAAAGCAAGCCAGAACATTAGGCAAGATTCAACAAGGTAACCAGCATTTAAAAGTAGTCTCCCCTGGAATGGCAAATTTCTTTCACATGCTTTTAGAAAAAATAATATTTGAAGACTTAATTTCACATAAAATCAAGGTATAAATTAACCTAGATGCTTCTTGTACAAGACTTTTGCATTAGTCCATTTTGTGCATGTGGTTAGCAGCACTGTACCTCTGCCTGAAAACCCTCGACCAAGATGGCCACCAGCAAGTTGAAGAGCACGTAGTTGCCAAAGGTCATGAGTGCGATAAAGTAGAGGGCAGCTACGGGAGAGGTGGAGGCCATGCCATTATACAAGACCTTGTTCCAGTCTTCCTGGGTTAGGATCTGAAAGACAGTAGAGGGCAAAAAAGTATTTATGGGAACTAGAATATAATTGTTCAGAAATTGGTCTCGGAGTTTAACAGCACTTGTTTGGTTACTGTCACTGTCTGTCAAGCTGCCACATGACATATGTAGTTTACACTGACAATAGTGGCTGATTTATTACTATTTATTTTTCAGACAGAAATAAATAAAACACTCTAGTCATTTCTAGCCGGTCAGTTTTGTTGGCTATAAAATGACAACTGTAAGTTTTGTTAGCTGTAGCTAGCTAGCTAGCTAATTATGCTACTGTTAGCACCAAGAGTTGTTTCAAAGTGTTGTCTGGCTGACTTTTTCATGTTTCCAGATGACTTGCTCTAAAATGAGTATCATGCAAACAATGTATACATATGCACTTTATGGCTATAGTATATAAAAAGCTGCATGTCCTAACCAAGTTAGCATCCCACCAGTTGATTTAAATGACATATAATTCTGAAGAGAGAGATAGAATAGTTCTTATATTTCAGAGAAAAATAGTCCAAGTATTATAAATGTAAGAAACATTAAGACATTTTTATTTGAACACAACCTTGCTTTACTTTTTGACTTTAACTAGTTCTAAGTAACACTAACCCTATTTAGAGAAAAGGCCTTTAGAAAGATGGCTAATCAAGATGTATGACAAAATGAACGTCATCTTGGGTAATGTCAGCTGGGGCTGCTGGAGTGTAAACTTCCCCAGATCCCCAACAATGAGCAGAACAGAGCTGCTAACATTAACCTGAACTGTAACAGAATATAAGAGTGGCCTCCAAACAGTAGGGAAGTGCTGCACAATGGCTTGGATAGTTGTTTGATTCGGTGGAGCTAGTTGGATGCTACAGAGAGCCTTTGAGTTTATTCACTAATCCAAAGTGACAATGCGAGAGGAACACCTACATCACCTTTATAAGATACTTGGAAAAGGAAATTATATGAGTGGAGGAGTGAAGAAGACATGAAGGCCACCCAGGGTGGGAGAGAGTGAATAGAAGAGTGAAGAGGACTATTTGGCTTGACATAATTAATTTATTCAGGAAGAAATTCTTTTCTTTTTTTTTACTTTGAATGGGGACAGGTTCAGTCAGCACCAGTGAAACAGGAGGATGTTGGGTTAGCTGCTTGTGAGCAGTTCAGCCAATACAGTTTGATCACACAGAGAGTTCAGACTTCTAGAGGGTGGATACACTTGCATACCTTTAGGTCAGACTTCTGCTAATGCTTTATTATCTTTATACAGTGTGAAGTAGGGCATATAACTGCAGCTACATTGGCCATAACACAGTGAAATGTGACTATTTAACAGAGTGGGAGAAGGGGAGAAAGGGGTTTATGCTCACCTGGAAGACTGTCACTATAGCCCAGAGAAGAGAGTCAAAGTTTTTCCTGTCTGGAAGAGTGTCTCCATCCCTCTCTGAGCCAAACTTACAACCAAACAGATGCATCCCCAGGATACTGACACAGGAGGAGAAAGGAAGAAGAAAAAACAGACAGGAAAAAAAGGGATAGATGTTTACATCAAGCCAACTCATTAGATACTGAACTGGAATTATTTGCTGTATCATGGTGATTATACTTGGAAAAACAGCTGTAGTACATACTGATCATTAATGATGGCTATCTGCAAGTATTCACTTAACAGTATGACCAAGAGAGCAACAAAGACTTCAAAAACACCATGTATGGAGTATTAAGTTCATAAACAGCCAGCCAACAATGCTTTGAAACAGAAATGTTGCATGAAATGACATGTCTAATGTATTTCTATATGGTAAAGCACATGTCAAAAGTCAGATGTAACAAACTTTGGACCAAATATGAATTACTGGGCATTGTAGGGCAGTATAGAGAAACACCACTGTTGTTGTGTTCTTTGAAGTAAAGCATCCTGGAAAAGAGTTAAGATTCTCAGCGAATGAATCTCAAGTACACAAGTATACACAGTAGCACAGCTAAAAACAGAAGTGAGTTGAGAACACAGAAAGACAGGGAAACACAAAAAGAAAGATACTAGAATGCTATGCCACATCAGGGATGGTCTTATTATGAAGCAGCAGTGAATGTACACAGCAGTCTGTCTTTTATTCAAAAACACAGACACTGAAGCTCAACTGGAGCTCAAGGATCAGTGAACAGGCCTCCGCTGTGTAAACTTGGCAGCTCTTCATTCAAATCAAGGCCTGTTTATCTATAGATATACAAGGCCCTTGGAACTCTGTCTGAACTGTTTTGTGTATGTGTGTATTGGAGTGCGTGTGTGCCCTGGCATACATATGTTCACATATACACACAACTTAACAACCTGTTAAAATGAAGCCGCACACACACACACACACACACACACACACACACACCGGTAATAAGAGGTTAAAAACAGAAACAAAATGAAACACTGATTATGGTATTTTCATTGACATAAGGTTTTACTGGTCTAACTCAGGAAAACATTCACAATAATCTGCTCTAGAGCTGCACATATAACAAAACACCATATTAATGTAACTGTTCAGCAAGCTCTTCAAATCCCCAGCTTCAGTCAGTTGTTTTAACACAGACAAACCTTAATACTCCTACTAAAGAACTTTAAATGTGTCTGTCACTGTGAGATAGATTTGTCTTTTTTTCTTTTTTAGAAGTAAAACCCAATTACACATAGAGATGAGTGCATGGCAAATTACATAATCATGTAGGTATGGCACTGATGATTAGATTTAAAGTGTTTGTTTCGCTGGATGCCCACTTTTTGACAGATAGACATCAATCGAGGTCTTGCATTTACATTCTGAGCAAAGACCTTGGAAGAGATGATTTTTCCATTTTTGCTCTTTTCAAAATTTTCTGAAACTGTGGTCATCACTTGACCGTCTCCTGTAATGCAGCTGCAAATGTCAGTCTTCTTGTGTTTCAGAAAAGTGATTTTCTTGAGCTCAGCCACAAAATCTGAGGCAGAAAAAAAGAAATGCTGACAAAAAGAAGGCATCACTTGTCATCTCACCAAATAATTACATTCATCCTGTCATGACTGTACTGATCTCTACTTCTCAAAGCTCCTTACTTCTCATGCAGAAGTGATCTTGTTCTGATCTACTAATTTACATTAATTCCACACCTTTGAGCTTTCAATTCTATCCATAGTACAGCTAATTTATGGCCCAAAATGCAACTCCCTTTGGTTTATATGATCTATTTTCAGTTTTTTGCTTTCTATGACGTTGTTGAACGAAACAGTTCACACATTTTTTTTCATAGATGAAAACGTTTTTTGCAGTGTAGGACAGATGTGAGGTCAGTCAAACTCCTGCTGCCTACCTGAAGATGAAGATAAAGAGCATGAGCAGCATACAGAAGGTGGCCACATTGTCCATGGTCTTCATCAGCACCACGAGCTGCCTCTGCAGGGCCGGCATGAAACGGACCAGCTTGAGCACCCGCATTAGCCGGAAGGTCCTCAGGACTGACAAACCGCCCCCTTGCTGACCCACAATCTCCCACACGCTATCCGAAGACACAACATACATATACATACATTAAACTCATGTGAAATGCAAGATCAGCACCCCCCAACATAATTAACATCTAGTGTTTGCTTCTTTACATATGCTCCATAAAAGACTTGGAATCATTTACAGTGTTTGTACTTGATTAAAGCATTCAGTATTTGTTTTATGGGGCAAGCAGAACAAGCTGCAAATCCACCATTTAGCTATTATGACATATCACCTTATGAAGTGCTAATAATTGTCTATTTACACATTGAGCAGATATACTGTGGAGCAACATTATCATTCATTTTGAACTCATGTTTGCACCCTGACAAAATTAAGTCCAGTATACACTCTGCTTTGTTTTCCACCAAATCCAGAGGGAAGACTCTTTATCAGCTACTCAGTAACTTTGTCTGCCTGACATTTATTGCACACTATCGTGGTACTGTGCAATGAGTTTATCATAGGTGAAGAAATAACATAAATGAGAGTGGTGAGAGGGAAACAAGCAATTAAAGTTGCAGTTTATGAAAAACAAAATCTGGTTAACAATACTAAAATGCTCCATACAGCTGAGGGGAACTGTAGATCCATTGATCATTTTCATCGGGTTAATCTCTACAAGCAAAATCTTTCACATTATATATTGTCATTTGACTCTTTGTCAGCGTAAAAACTTTGGCTAGTGCAGCTGTAAATGTCATTATTTGGATAATATTGTCTTTACTAATTCACTTTACACAGTGCTGAAAATCAACTATTTACCTTTTAAATGATAAATATATAATAAATGTGCTTTGTTTTTGTTGTTGCTGGAAAACTAATGTGACTGTATCATTATGTTCTCGTGTGGCTGATTTCCCTCAGGGTTCATTACAATGTTATGTTTTTCTTGTATTATAATAACCATGAGTGTTTATGGGGCCCTCAGGTTCAATATTCCCTGTGGCTTTATTTTAAAAACAGAAACATAGAGCCAAGAAAAAAAGCATGATTGGGCCAGTTAAGAGATTTTTGAAGAATTCTGCCAAAAAGTCTTGTTTACAGCTTCACATCTTACCTGATGACCACAATGATGCCATCAAAGATATTGTAGGGGTTCTTGATGTAGCCAAAGGGCCCATAGACCAAAACCTTCAGCAGCATCTCCAGGGAGAAAAGGCTTGTGAACACAATGTTACTGATCTCCAATGCATTGGTCAATTCATCGGGCTGGAAACACAGACAGAGAAGGAAAATCAGTAGACTGGGGAAGCAAGACGTTCATAACACTACAGCAGGAACACCTGCAGTGTCACATGTGCACAAAAACATGCCAGTGACTAAATCCAATTCCAATCTGACAAACCTGTCTATTCACACACAGCTTTTTTCACATTCAGTACACACACACACATAGAGAATCTTTATCTCACACCAGGTAACACACTGATCACAATGCTGATACTAAATTTGCCTGCAATGTCTGCTCAAAGCATCATCGAAGAACCAGGCTGCCACTCACATCAGCATCAAACAGCTGGTGTCTGTGTGTGACAGAGCGAGAGAGAGCGAGCGAGAGAGAGAGAGAGAGAGAGACAGAGAGAGAGAGAGCATTTGAGCATGGGCGTACACTTGCCAGTACAAACAAAAATGTGAGAGGAAAACCCATCAATGAAAGCAAGCAGACATACAAGAGAAAGAAAAGATAAAAGGCACAGCATATTCAAATACAACACAGTATGTAAATTCATTGTCTACAGTCAGTATCCATAATTATTGCTGTGGAGAAAAGAGCCGGCGGGAATGGTGTTATGTGCCTGGGGCCTGTAGAACACCCCATGAGGCCTTTCATCTCCATGCAATAAACCGTCTACACAACTCAAACCTGGAGTCATATACTATACACTGACATGACACAGCGGATAGAAAGTGTTGAAGGCAAATGTGTGCACGTCTATGTGACAGCCTACTGTATTTTACAGTCTCAGTATCCCACTGTGTGTGTCTATATAAATAGCTATGTCTTCCCAGCAGAAACATTATCCCAAGTCTGAACCAGGAGGTGATCTAAGTAATGTTAACACAGTGTGTGCCATTAAGCCTGTCCTGGTGGGCTGTCACTAATCATTATACACCATGACTGTTTAAGCAGCGATTACTCAACACGTGTATGGATACACAGAGAACAGAACACAGAGATTAACATCACCAGTTGAATAAAAGATCCATGTGGTGCATTACGGCACCAGTATGTCTATAGCACTTAGGCAGCACTGACAGCAGCCGGTCAGCTATTATGAAATGTTGTTACCAGTGGTGGTGCTACAGTGCACATATGAGAAAGTTGGTGGATGTCTTCCCTGCTTTAGAGCAATAAACATTTAAAATGGAATTATGGTTATTGCTGTTTGTCTTTTTTGTGTGTGTGTGTTTTTGCTGTTTTCTTTAAAAGAACCAAAAACTAATCTGGCACATAACCGATTCCTAATGGTAGATTGTCATTCTTATGCTTTGGATTTTGTACAGCTCAAATAAAGACGATGTGCTGTTTGGTGAAGTGCTGCAGGGCAGATGTTGTTGCCATTGTACCAGTACAGAGCAAAGCTAACTGTTTCCAGTCATTATGCTAAACTAAGCTAACAGACTGTGTGATTAGCTTTATTTATTAATTTATTTCACCTTCTCATCTAGATCTGCATTAGAAAAAACTATCAGCATTATTCCCTAGATGTCCAAGTATGTTCTAGCTTACTGAGTAGCGGTGATGTAGTCTCTGATCCTGGTGTACACCGCACTTAGCAAACTGACTTGAAACTTCAACCGCAAAGTGCAGGGAAACAATTTCACAGCCTAGTGTTGAAAATATTTGATTTCAGGTAAAATAAAGTAAATTAGTGAAACATTTACATAATCACAGCATGGCAGCAAAGCGAGTACTGTACTTATGTTTTTGAAGTTTTGTGCTTGAAACTTTAAATGGGTCAAGTTTATGTCTACTTGTCAAAAGTAAGTACTGTTTACAGAAAACTTCAGTAAGAGTGTCTTGACAGTATAAATGTCTTAGAACAAGTGAAGACTTACAAGTCATTTCTTGGTATTAACTCATTCTTCCCATGAGACCTGAGACCTGAATGTAGCACTAGGCGTGAAGGCAAAGATAGGAGTCCAGCAACACCAAGATGGAATATTGCACCATAATTCAGAGCCTGGAGTTTCAAGACTGAACTTCACTGGCTTTTTATAAACTACCTAACTTGTAATCACTGCTAGTTTCAACAAGTTATCATGCCTAAATATTAAAATAGACTGTAATTACCTTCAAAAATACAAAAAAGATTCATATGAGCATTTTCCAATCTGCTGTCTTAAATGGTCCAAAGGAAGACCATTTGTATGCCCAGCTATCCATCACAACAGGGCTGGATCAACCTGCTACATGCCCTGGGGCAAACATGAGTTGTAGGCCCCAGTTAACCCCCTCTGTTGCCTTTAAGTACCCATTAGGTAGAGTGCACACTGCAAATGCCATCTTCATTAGGGTTCCCCCAGAGCCCTAGGAACCACTTTCATATGGTGGAATACTACATTGCACAAGGCTTACTGTGGTTTGTAATGTATGTAGTCATTTGGTGAATCAGACATGTTTATATAAGTACAAGTACAGTATAGCCCTGATATATGTTAAATTGATATCATCCTGTAAGCACATCCCAAAAAGTATTAATGTATTTCACTAATTATTACATTAGTTATGACTTTCAGTCAGATGTTAGCAGCTGCTTCAAAGTCTGAATTCAACTCTACTGTGATCCTCATATTAGAATTAACACCCAACATTCTTGTCATCCTTATGTTCAAGAATCAAAGAGGTGACAAATTACATTTAAATAATTTTGAATTTGGTGCCACTGCAAATGCCATTGCAAATATGGAGAAGTAATTTGGGAATGCGTGTGGCTGTCAGTTTTTAGATAGCTGTAGTCCAGCACGACTCAAGCTGATAAAATGTTGACTTGTTTTGTGATATGGAATAATATAAAAGTACATTTCATCACGTTACTTTATTTGTTTCAGTTTAAGCATGATCATGTAACCTACTAGCATAGTATCTGCTAATGTTAAACAGCCACTGGAGGGAATATATACAGAGAGGAGAACATCTTTCACATCCTGTCTCCTTGATAAAAAAGAATCATTTGTCCACATTCTGCAGTTCAGCTTCTGTCAGTGAAGCCCGCTTTGTGAAAAAGAAGCTTTTCTCCATGTCACCTCACCTCTTTGTCACTGTCTGTGTCTCCTGAGCCTCTCTCTGGGTTCACAGTCGAATCTGGTCGTTTTATCCAAAAGCTTTATTGGGCCTATTCATTTATACACTGACAAGTGCGGCGGCAAATCTATAATACATGTATATACGAACTGTACGACTGAGAAATGTTCAAAGGGTAAACAAATGCAGGGGCACTTATATGTTTGTGTATTCTTTCACACACCACCACTGCACATAGAGGCGTGCCCAAAGTTACACTATTAACAATGTGGACTCACATCCATGAGCCACACAGGGAGCTCAGCTCGCACACTCATTGCCATGTAAGCACATATACAGTATGCACAAAAGTCTGCACGCACTTCTAACCATGTGTTGTGGACACACATAGAGCTGTATAATAGATGGTTGATAACCCAGAACAAGAAGCACAGTTTTTCTGAGGTGAGACATAAACTGCGGACACTTGGCCTTGAGACTGAGATCCAGGTCATTATTCTTCCCCTGTTTCTGCCCCGCTATTGTTCCAGTCTGTATATTTTCATTCCTCGCATCATGTCAGATTACTACCAAGAGAAGGAGCTCATAAAGAGAGAAACACTAGACACACACAAACTAGTGTTATCAAATGCTCACAGCCATTAGCTTATCAAACAGCAGAAAGGTCTTAATTGACTAATGGCCACTGAGGTGTGCGAACTACCTAGAGGGAGATGAATGTGTCCATGTGTGCAAGTTTGTAAGTGAGAAAGATGCTCTTGCTTTTCTAATAGCTTCCTTCTAAGGCTGTTTCCTGGCTAATGAGGCTGCAGGAACGTTAGGAGGTAGCGTGTGTTAGATGAGGAATAGTGTAATCTGTTTAGTGCTAATGTAATGTCACCTAATCTGATGTGATCTAATCTTAAACGGGATGCTGTGCCCCCCTCATCTCCAGACTGTCAGTGATGAAGCTCCATGGTTGGTGTGTGTGTGTGTGTGTGTTCTAGTTTAATCAAGGGGTTTGCTGAAGCCACAGAAGAAAAAGAAATGGAGAGTGATACACTCACCATTACGGTTGGCTCGTTGTAATTCAATAGTACTGATGAGGAGGATTTGACTAAATGATGTGAAAGTCTGTATCAGCACCTTAACACAATTTAACAAAAACTACCCAGGGGCTAATGATATTTCCAAAGCATGTGATAGGATTGACCAGAAGCTACACAGGATGGGTGCAGCTCACCTGATAATTCTTTAGCTAGTTTTGTAGTTATAATTACAGGGATAATTTGATATTTTGGGAAATAAAGTAATTAGCTTTTTTGTCACAAGCCAGATGACAAACCTGATACCTCACGTCTTAGGTCTGTACAGTTCATAGAGTTTGTAGCTAACTGGCAGCCAGTTCGCTTAGCTTAAGGGGCACTAACTAGCTAGTTTGGTTCTATCTGCAGTTTTAATAAATTCTGCCTACCAACACAAATAAAGCGCAGGAATTAGAGTAACACTTAATCCTTAAAAAGCTAAAGTAAACTGCATTTTTACAGGTTGTTACTCTATGTGCTATTTGTTAGCCAGTGGAGACTCTGGGCTGCCAAGGAACAGTCCTACTCATAGCGTTTGGCAAACTGCGATTGTTACACTTCACTATTTCTTTACATTTGATGTATGATTTCATGTAAAATAACATAAAACAAAGGGCTAACTGAAGACCAGGGCCACAGAGATTCTCTTTTTATGAGTTACACCATGTTCGTAGATCTCTAAAACATCAAGCTCAAGTGAGTTACTTTATACATCGTTGCTTCAGACACGCCACCTTCTGTCTCTAGTGATTATTTTTGGAATATTTAGCTCATAGACAACTACCAAACTCTGAATATTCATTAACATGGTAAATGTTGGTTCATTTTTAGATTAATAATAATGCTTTTATTTTGTATTGCAGTCTGTCCACTTTTTGGGCCTCTTTTTATAGTTTTTA